ATCGGCTTCAAGCTCGAACCCCGGATGTGCCGAGTTTGATTCCAACGGCGACCACTCTGTGTCATTACCACGAATTCTCTTAAGGAATTTACGGATGCTTAAGATCAGGGCTACTCAGACGATGGAGCGACACGCTCGGAACCGAAAGGTTCTTGGTTCGAACGCCGATCTGGGTCACACTCCGTTCTTCATTCCGAAATTTATAGATAAATGTCACTATGATAAACGAGTAGGAAGATGACGAGAATATAGACTATGCTTGTCAGTAGCTACTGTCGTTTCTGCCTTTAAAGATAAGCCCCATCTGGCTGATGAAATAGAAATGGTGATGAGCGTCCCATCAGTGACTTCATGAAAACAAGGGCGTTGAAATTGACCCCATCAGTTAAGAGTAAGGATGATCGATATTTCATCGGTTACAAACTTTATTTATTTTTCTTCAAAACAGAATTTCGATGCATGTATCTCCGCTCAATACGTTCCTGACTGCCCAGAGAGTTTTGTGCCTGCCGCTTCATTGTCGTGCTAAACGCATCCCACCTTTCATAATCCCCGTACAATTATTAGCGATGTCACTTAATAACTTTAAGATCGGTTTTGAAGGACTGAAGTGTTTGTTAGCATAATCCGACATACGAACCCATTTTACTCCTCAGATTTGAAGTTTTTTCTGTTCAGAAAAATTAGGCACATTGTGACCGTACATAGCGTTGTATGGCATATTCCTCTATTATATGTATGTATTTATATTTTAGAAAAACAAATATTCGGTTCGGCGTATCGTTCCATTTTTAGATAACTTGATCTAATGCTTTGCTCTTTGCATACTTTGCGCCGCAAGTGGTAAATCAGTTTTAGTGCTTCTGGCTTTGGCGGTGCCGAATCCTGTGATAATCTAAAGATTGGGAGTTGAACGTTTTGATAGGCTCAGTTGCGTTCTATTCAGTTTCTGATTTTCTCATTCGAACCAGCAACTAGCAAACGATGACAAGGCGTGTCGACCAGATCGCAGACAGAAAAAAACAGTATGTCAGCGCAATGTGTACTGCCAGTACCAGTACGTGATGTCCATATGAACACCAGCGTACCGCAGAATTCTGACATACGCACGACTTTTGCTTTGACGACTACATATAGGGCTGTAGTTCTGAGTTATTACATCTGAGTTCTTGGTATGATTTACTTTTCGTAGATCATCCCATTTCAAATGACAGTGGCAGTTTGATTGGCTAGCCGTAACCATTGCATCGCACGGAGCTATTGTAATGGTTGAATAACACCATTCTGGTACTCTCGAATACCACTGTGGCTGTCGATGGACTGCGCACATCTTAGACATAGTTTCATTTTTGAGAACACGGTATACGAATATGTTGCAAGTAACTTTAATGTTGTAAAAGCTACTGTGTTCAATGTAAAATCGTAAATTCGTGATTGCTGCAAATCTTAAATAATGATCATTTTTTATAGTAAGTAATAGAATTAATCATTTTTTCATGAGATTAGCTCTTTCTAATGAAAATGTTTAATACATGGAGCATTTCAAAAGTTTTCTTCAATTTTGAGTGTTGATCGAGTTTTTTTGAGTATTCTGATTTGATACATATCCATTAATCTTTGAAAGCAGATTATTATGGGTGTAGAAAAGAATTTGACAGTTATTCATGGTTCAAGGGAATAAGGGAATATTATCCTCTATATAAACAAGTATTTAATTTAAAATTGTTTACTTGCTGAAGCACTTTCTGT